TATAAATCTGTATGTAACGGTTCAGAACGCAATTTTATTTAATACTTAATTTATCACCTAGTACGATTACTTACAGTTATATGGATAAGTGAACTATCAGCCACTACCGACATCTTACCACTTTAATTATTAGCCAAAATGGGGTACGACATGTTATTTTTGATCGTTGCCTTTACAAGTTGCTCTGATATCCTGAAATTAACTGAAAATAAAGAAGAAAAGGATAAGCTAAAATAGGATTTAGGAATTATCGTGAGACTTAAGACTTCGCCATCTCACAATTAAATGATAAGTCAACCTTCAAAATCCAGAAATGTCAAATATTTGCCGCATTCGTTCGTATGTTATCCAAAAGACTAACGACCATGGCGCCTAAACTGATGGTAAAATAACAAATTTAATTTAGAAGGTCTAAAAACTAAATATATATTTTCTTCATATTCCAATAGATACCAACACAATTAATTTACCGATCGGACATAAGATGGCACAAAACCTTTGTACAGTGCAAAAAAGCCTTCCTCCCGACAAATTCGTTTTAGGCAATCATAAGATCCTTTGTATTGATGTGTCCTGCAAAATTAACTGCTTGCAGCGACAATAATACTACCATCAACGAGAAAAAAAACAGAAAAGAAAATAAGAATTTACCTAGAACTTAAAAAGCTAAAATTTACAATTTCTCATCACTGCTGCGCAATTGTACCATTATTCGTGTCTTTACAACATCCGCTGGGGTAGATATAATTGCAGCAGCCATGCCCGAAACAAGACTGGCAATAAAATGTGTGTAATAATTATCCAAGCAACCTTTCGCTATCAACCAATGCTTCGTAAAATCGTACGTTGCAAGATCTGTGATTACACGATGCGAACAAAAACATGAACTTGTATTTGGAAATAAAACATTCAGTTGCACGTTTTAATATATTGTGTGAGACGAAAAACTAATCCGAATTATCCCACACAACCTGGAACATATCAATTTGACTTTCAAAATTGCAACATACTTATACTCACCAGCCATATTCAGTAAAGCTGCTCTTTGAGTGTTTGGAAGCCAACCAGTCCACAAGCCCGTGAAACCGTTACTTTTGTAAAGTACAACAAACACATGGTATGAATTCCGAAACCTGAAGCTATAATTGGAACTGACAGGAAAAAAATGTAAAAATATAAAGGAATTAAGAAACTTTAAACATTTTGTATGAAATATTATAAAACGATAACCGAGGCTGAACATTGTCCGACTTTCTCAGTCTCTTAGCTTGCATTTGTACTTTGATTAAATCAGTTGGTGATGCCAAAAACTGCGCCACAGCACCCGAGACTAAACCACAAATTGCCGACTGCCTTAAAAAACCATAAACATTTCTTTATGAAAGTAATTTGTAAGAAAAAAAAAAAAAATGTAAACGCAGTAAAACAAATGTAGGACAACTTTAAAAAACATACCATATTGGAAAGATTTTTTGTTTTTCCTTATCAAAAATTGCGAATCGCATAGTTTCGTAAATACCCATTCGAAATCCTGTGTAAACTGTAACCAAATATATTTATTCCTTAAAAAAAGAAAAGAGATTCGACTTGGCTATCTTTGGAACATCGTATAAACAATTAATAACGTAACTTCACAAAAACTTACTGAGATGCCGATATATTGCTGGAGTAAGTCCACTGAATAGAGAACGAAAGTTTTCACTCTTCACTGAAAACAGTAGATGAGTTATAAGTAAAAAACAAGTGCAGCTTTATCGGAGTAGTCTACTGGATAATTATTACAAAGAGTAAGAAGCAAAACTGACAAAAACTTGTTTCTAGAGCTTTTTAACCATGAGAATATGTAATTTTATGTGGAATGAGATGTAGTACAGCAGCAGCACCTACAACTGAGCGAACCAATCTTACAAATGTGCCATGTGGTTCGTAACATTGTAGGAGGTTGAAGATCACTTTTGGTTATTTCCATACGGTTCGGTAACATTTGCAATCGAGTTTTGATGACATCCAAAGGATAAGTTACTATGAAAAAAGAACAAATTATCTTTAAGACATAACGAGCTCATTAAAAAAAGGAAACAAAGATAAACTTACTGTTCAATTGGAATTCAACGGAAAATCTTTCGCTATTATTAAATAGAATGATATAGCAATTAAAATATAAAACTAGTGCTTCTGAATGTCTCACTAGCATCTCTGATTTCAATAAATTCGTAGAAATGTTAGCACCAGTGGGCTCTACTTTAAAGGCACGAATTTAAACATAACTTTTCAAGAACTCCAAAAAAAAATACCTACCACTTTCAGCAACAAATGAAGCACAACATGAGAGAACGTATTTAGAACCAATAGCACGCATCGTTAATGACGAATTCATCTGGTGTTCATCCACATCCATTTGCCCAATTAGCTGTAAAAAAAAAAAATCGTAACATTCAATGATATTTCATCATGTCACGATGTTCACATTTACTGAGAATACGCCAAATGCATATATGCTTGACAAAATACCACACTATTAATGAATGAACACGGTTATTCAGTGCCTACTTATTTGCTCAAATCTAATTAAAACAAATGTGAAATCACTTCAACATGCGACAGAATAAAATGTGTACGCGAAGGTTTAAATGAAACGTACCATCCCTGACACTTAAAATTTAAATACTGTTAGGAATCTACAACCCAGAACTCATCTCCAACCTCAGCACATGTAGATGATGATTCCAATCTCACCGAAATCTAAACCATGTCAGTAGTCATCACACAATGTAAATCCCGCATGAGTTTTCTTACTCCATGTTGGAATGTGGAAAATCCATTAACGTTCTCTTTTAAGTTCTTACCTAACATCGTGCGTAAAACTGAATTTTTTTTTGGTGAGAGGAGGAAATTTAATGAGATCTTAACCCGAAGCACCTCTACTGGTCAATATAGTTTGGAAGTAAGAAGATGAAAGAGTGAAAAACTTTATAGAATTCTTTCCGTCTAACTCAACGAAATTACTGGATAAAGACGACAAACAATAAAACGATGGATTGAATATTGAGAACTATTTTTTGGAAATTTCTATAACATCCTTGATGCACATTTTATGTACTTTTTGATATGATTTAATAAAATTCTGAAATGAGATGAAATGTATATAAAGGGAAAAAGGCAAATATCTACAAATATCTAACGAAAAATCCACAAAATTCATGTCATTAGTACCGCAAAAATGCACCACCATCAAAATCCACTGAGAATATGCTACGACCAGCATAGATCGCAGCCTTACTAGGACCTGCAAGCTTCTCCCAAACGACTACTAAGGCGTCCGCGGAAGCGAATAGTGATAATAATGTTGTTGTAATAAGCGTAGTCATGTCTTCCAATAGATAAAGCTCTGCCTTTTTGTACGAGAATTAGAAAGTAAATGAATGGTTTTCTTGAAAAAAAATTATTTAACGTTTATGCAGATGTAGAGATGATCCATATAGTGACAAAAAATGTAGTACACAAAGAGAGGAATATCCGTTCCTTATTACGTAACTACTCTAGAGGATAAACCAGTGATCATTTCAAATCCAAGAATAATCCTAACCTCTTGAATACAACAGAGATGGATTTAGCGATCCTGCTCATAAAAATTTTTTGATGGTTCGATGAGACAATAATACACTGAGAAAATTACGAATTCAGAACAAAATACTGAATAACTTGGTCGAAAATTTATCAGAGTCGATTCTCAGCGGTAAGCACAAGATGGATAACATTATGAAAGTAATTGAATAGGTATAATAAGTAACCTCCATAATGCATGAGGTTTTTTCCTGTTACTTTTTATGCTTTTATCATGCCTAAATCAGCATTTTTTAATGAATACCTAACGTTGGTGAAAATGAAATGGTGTAGTGGATAACGAAGACTGAAAACTGTATTACTGAGATAAAGGATTACAACGCAAAGGAGCTCCGGTCATGGATTTCAGTTTTGTAGTCTTGACTAGGGAGTCAAACATACATCAAAAGTACTTTCATACTGCTGTTTCAGAATGCGACTACAACTGAAGTTAACTTTAAGTTATACTGTATCCATAACTTGAGTTATAAATATGAATCCATGACGAAATGCATTTCATGAAGTCAAGGGAATGGTATGCGATAATGAAATCCACAAAAGAACATGCAAAACAGATAAACATGTAATAGCTGGAGGAAAAGTGCAGAAAATGACCGCGCAAAATTATATAAGTCAACAAGAAAAATACAAAACCATAAAAAAAAAAAAGAATAAAATCGTTTTAAATCGTAATAAAACCTCCTTCCCCCTCACAACTCTTTTTACCGGATTGAAGAATTAACCTGATTAGTAAAAATGAAATATATTTGCAAGTCTCTTCAGGACATAAAAAAAGCAAAAAGTTCCACACTGGAATGTTCGACCTTGCGTGAACCCTCTCGCGAATCACCTGCCTTTGCTGATGTCAAAACACATTTCATTCCCATAGTGAATGTTTTTGGATTAAATCGTTTAAACTAAAGTGCTATTTAACATCTGACGTTTGCACTCCAGCTTTCCTTCAGGTAAGAAACTATCAAAGAAAATTACGAATTTAATGCCAGCTTGTAGTGGAACCGAAAATACGATGTTAATTTTAACAGAATAATCTAAAATCAATAAATTAGAAAATAGGACATTATTAAAAAGAAAACACAGAACAGAAAAATTATAATACAGAACAGAACCGCTAAAAAATTCTAAAAACAAGAACAAATAAACGAAAAATTAAAAAGAAAATACAGAGAAGGAAAATTAGAACACAGAACAAAATTGTTATTTAAAAAATCCTAAAATAAGAACAAACGAAACATTAGCGAAATATTAATAAAAAAATCTTAATAATAGCCTGGTTAAGTATTAAATCAATAATATTAAAAGAAAAAATATTAAATATTAAATCGATAATATTAAATATTCAGAGAAGATATGAAGTCCAATCTCTTCGTTCTTCATTTTCAGTGAATTGTTGCCAAATCTCCCATTTGATTTCCTCCTGTTTCGTCAAAAAAAAAAACAGAAGGAATCATCTGAAAAACAGCAATGAATGCTATATTATTCTCTCTCGGAAAATATTAAATGTCTTAAATTTCTGGAAGTGTAGCAAGTTCCACTCCAACCTCCTTAATGTCATTTTGAAAATTTTCACTCGTCTGTTCATATTTATCCGGTAAAAACCTAGAAATCGACACTGAAGAAACAAAATATGTGAAAAGAAATACCTGATGCGAGGAATGTAGTTTCCATCTGACCTTTCCTTTCTCCACTTGTTCTTCCCGCCTGCCTCCTCTTTTTTTAAATTTTCTTTCAATTTTATCTTTTTTTTTTAAATTTTTTATTTGCTTTTTAAAAGTTTTTTTTTTGATCCCTCTACCTCCTCCGCGTTCCTTTGGTCGAAGATTGTACTGCAAAGTATATTTTATAAAATTATTGAATTCACAAAGTAATGCGACCGAAACTGTCACGATAAAATAAGTCTCACCAAAAAGTGATAAAAACTTTGACCTGTTAGAATACATCACTTTTCCTACATTGAATCTGTCATATAATTAAAAATATTTGAAAACTAAGTTACTTTATGAAACCTGTGGTATGTTGGATAACACGCCTGGTAAATCCCAAATTCGATTTCGGTTATATTAAGTTATACGTCATACCAAGTAAGGCCTATGGCTCACCATACGCAAGAGTGAACACGTAATTCGCCACTCAATAAACCTACTTTATCGAGACCAACCCCCAGGAAAAGACATTCACCCCCTCCCCACCCCGCCATGTACTTTCTCCTCATACGTGGTTCTCTTCTCGGTAACTATTGCATAACCCAACCCATTGTGCAACTTTTTTTCCCTTCCAATTAAAATAGAATACACCTGGTCCAGTCAAAGTTCACATGAGTATTTTTGTGAATGCGGTGGGAGGATGCAGCGGAGGAGTGTACCCGTCATGAGGAGATTTGTTAAATTACAGTTTTCGAATTTAGTTTCTTTTTTAGCTTCAAACTTTTAACATTTTGTGGAAAATCTTTTACCTTTAAATGATCAGCATGCATCTTCACGTACAGTTATTTTTCACTTATCAAAATTTGTGATCAAACGAGGATTAACAATATTACATCCAACTTGTGGCATCTAATTCCACTTTAAATTTTATTTTTCTCTTCCTGCAATAGATTTTCCGCTTTGCTGCTCCAATATATTTTCATAGATTTTTTCAGACATCTTTTAAAGAGAAATTTATAAATTTCATCTTGTCGTACAATTTCACCTCTTCTTCTATTGCTGAACAGTGATGTTGATATGATATAACAAGCAATATTTTTCATTTAAACTCTCGTCGCATAACCTACCTTGTATTTCACAATTAAATTAGGTTTGATAAGATATTTACTCGAGACTCTCATAAGAACTTTCTACGACATGAATTAGACGTCAGAATGTCTGTGTTTTTCCGCTGAAAAGCAAACCTGCATTAAATGTTAAGTCATGTAAGGAACAAGAATGTGCGGTAACATTCTTGTTCCTTACATGACTTAAATTACCGCACTCAGTCAGAGATGATGTTTAGTATTCATAAGAGATATCCAGATGTTAATTTGTTTGGTTTTTACAAGTCGAGTTGCTTTGTATGATGCATTGTATGAAACTTTGTACAATACTGCAAACATTAGCATAAATATATTAATGAGAATTAAAAAATTCTTTATAATACATATAAAATCTAGACGATATCATCGTTCTGGCATTAAGATTACTTCATATAAGCAATGGACGAACTTTTCATAATTCCTGATTGTTCAGTGACAATTTAGTCATTTTCAATCTTTTAGCATGAAGTGATCAAGCATAGAATAAATAATCGAAATGCTATGCATTCGAGACATCAAAAGTGATGACGAAACTAATAAAACTAATTAATTATTTTTAAGTTGTAAAAAATCTTACGGTGTCATAAATCATCTCTCCATAAATTTGGCTTCTTAAGATTTATTATTCATGTGACTTTATTGGCTCTTGTCGAGAACAAGCTCGAAATTCCACTAGAAATAATCTTTGTACCGAACAATCGAATTTAGCAAAAGGTCAAATTTAAATCAATGTATTTATATTTAAGCAAATCATGTTAATCATTTATTGTAAGTTTTATTGTAATTCAAATTCCTTAATGACTCATAGATGGTAATGTGTTAACAAATTCCCATGCTAATCTGTCATATTATCTAATGCACATCTGCTCCAATCCTTTGTTTGTTATCTAATTCCGTTTACAAAAACTATCTTTCCTATAGCCTTCCTCCTAGCTTCCATTGTATCAATCGCTTTATCTCTCCACCCTCAAATCATCCTATATAAGGGCAATTACCACTCAACCGGAGCATCCTTCCCAGCATTGTTACCAGTCTCCCCGTTGCTTAGCTCATCCTCCTCACTAAATTGTCAAACTACTGATTGCTTGTTTGGTTTAATTACCCAAGATAAAGCACTCGACTCAATTGTGCAAGTAAACCAACCCAATTCAATCCATTCACAACACCAATCCAATCCAATACATTCACAACAAATTTATGGTGCCACGAGCCGGGAACATGTCATCCATCATCATCAGAATCGCAGACCAAACAAAACGAAGATTGTGTGAAGTCCTCAACGAAATCAAGCGTCTGAACTTGGATTCGGTCGACCAAACGACAACAACCGACGAAACAATCCGTCTTCATCAGGAACGGAGAAGGATCACCCAAGAAAAAATCATGCATATCCAAATATACATAGAGGCGTTGGAATCGGTCAATACAGAGTGGAAACAATTCATCCAGCAGATTTCAGTCTCAACCAAAAGAAAAGAAGAAGAAGATCGATACCTTCAGATAAACGACGATGAATCAGGTATTACCAACTTAATTTTACAAGCAAAACAAACTGTAGTCATTTTAAAAAAGTATCAAAATGATTCGGAGTTCATATTACAACGGCTAAATCAGTCTATGGTAAGGGAGAAAACAACTCAACCCAAGGAACCCACACAAGCGGGTAAATACCCTACAGTAAATCTCCCACAACTACCACTGCCCACATTCAGTGGGAAGCTGGAGGGAATTTTGGAATAGCTTTGATACAGCTATACATCAACAAGCAATTCCCGATATCCATAAACTAAACTATCTCATCTCATGTCTCAAAGGAGATGCCCTCCAAGCTATCAGAGGTTATGACATAACTCCGGAGAATTACAGTATCGTAAGAAATGTCCTCGTCGAAAAGTTTGGGCAGCCTTACGCCATCAAACGAGCCTTGTTCACCGAATTATACTCCATCAAAAAGAACGATAGAGAGTGGAAAGCAACGCTTGAGGCCATTGAGCGAACACTTCGACAATTGGAGGCCATCGGTGAGAATTTAGAGCAGTCCGGTATCGAAATAGCTGTGGAAGGGAAATTGCCAACCTGGATCCTAGAACAGGTTTACAGAAGAAAGAGGCAGGAATCGTGGTCTGTCACCAAACTCCGAAAGTTCCTCACGGAGCTTGCATCTGTGAACGAAGAAGTAGTACAAAGCCAGTCCCTATGGTTTAAAGGGAATATGGAGAATCAATCTCCAATAAAAGGCAAGCCAAGATCACGACACAATCCCAATGAGACTTCAGCCTTAACAACCTCTGTTCCGGAGAAACCCATCATCAAAGCCCTATCAAGACCTTGTGCACTATGCAACAAGAATCACTGGGATGAAGAGTGCCAGATTTATCCCACTCTCAAACAAAGGCTGGAACGTCTGAAGAAACTAAACGCTTGCCTCAACTGCTTCAAGATCGGACATATGGCAGCCAGATGCAAAAACAAGAAACGGAATTGCTTCCACTGCAAGGGTCAACACAATTCCGCGCTGTGCCCTAACAAATTCAAGGAAATGCCCAATAAACCAGAGGATCCAGACTCCACTACCACGACAAATATAATAGTCGAAAAAGAGAAGAAACGTGACAAGCGCATCCTACTCTTATGCAAGCAGATAAATGTGTTCAACCCAACTAATCCAAATACTCAACAAAGGGCTTTAGCCCTATTCGACGTCAGCTATTATGATGATTTTCATTGTTCTTAGTCGAATTAATATTCCAGCTAAATCGGGAAGGGTGATAGGGCCTCGATACAAGACATCGTTTAAGCTTTTCCTGCCTCTGAGGTGAGCGGAAGCGTCATAAACTATTCTGACCTTTGTCGTGGTGTTATCTGATTTTACCACTTCATGATGGGGCAAGTAATGGATAATACCTTGATGGTTTGTGAAATGACTTACCCTTTCGATGACATTGGATCTTAACTGTTCATTGATTGTTTCATTGTATGTGGTAAGTAGATGTTGGCTGCGGTGAAGTCGCTTGATTAACGACTGTAAGCGTCCGAGACATAATTCGAAATTGTCGCTTAATTTGGAACTGGTGTCTTTCCATGGCCATGCGACCTGGTATCGTCCATCGGACTTTCTAATCGTTTGCTTAAATTGTTTTAAGGCTTCTTCATCGTCATTGATCTCGGGTTTGTCTTGTATGCCTATTAGTTCCAGTTTCCAGAATTGATCTAAATCTGGAACGTTGATCGTGTTAGCGGCGTAAACTATTTGTGAGGAAATTCGTGAATTGGGAGAAATTTTCTTTGTATAGCCAGACCCAGCCAGGATCGGGTCCACTTTAGTGTGGAGCAGTGTGAATCCCGATTGCAGATTCTCTGCTTTGTCGAAATTGATGAATTGAAAGAAGTGGTTGGCTCCTATTAATATATCCGGTTGCTTCCATTCACTGTGGAAATCAATTATTGGACTTCCTTTGAGGGATCGTATGTCGCTTTCACTTAAGTTGACTACTTGTAGTTTGTTTGTTAAATAGTCCACGGTGTTCGCTTCGAGCAACACTGTACGGTCCTTCCCGATTTTTATCCCTATTTCAATTCTGGTTGTAAGGTGCGTGTTCGGGTCCTTTTTGCCGAATGAAGCGATGTTTAATTTCCCTTCATCTGTTTCGTTAAGCATTAGTTGTTTGGCTAAGTTCTTTGAAACAAAGGATAATTGTGATCCAACGTCGAATAGGGCTAAAGCCCTTTGTTGAGTATTTGGATTAGTTGGGTTGAACACATTTATCTGCTTGCATAAGAGTAGGATGCGCTTGTCACGTTTCTTCTCTTTTTCGACTATTATATTTGTCGTGGTAGTGGAGTCTGGATCCTCTGGTTTATTGGGCATTTCCTTGAATTTGTTAGGGCACAGCGCGGAATTGTGTTGACCCTTGCAGTGGAAGCAATTCCGTTTCTTGTTTTTGCATCTGGCTGCCATATGTCCGATCTTGAAGCAGTTGAGGCAAGCGTTTAGTTTCTTCAGACGTTCCAGCCTTTGTTTGAGAGTGGGATAAATCTGGCACTCTTCATCCCAGTGATTCTTGTTGCATAGTGCACAAGGTCTTGATAGGGCTTTGATGATGGGTTTCTCCGGAACAGAGGTTGTTAAGGCTGAAGTCTCATTGGGATTGTGTCGTGATCTTGGCTTGCCTTTTATTGGAGATTGATTCTCCATATTCCCTTTAAACCATAGGGACTGGCTTTGTACTACTTCTTCGTTCACAGATGCAAGCTCCGTGAGGAACTTTCGGAGTTTGGTGACAGACCACGATTCCTGCCTCTTTCTTCTGTAAACCTGTTCTAGGATCCAGGTTGGCAATTTCCCTTCCACAGCTATTTCGATACCGGACTGCTCTAAATTCTCACCGATGGCCTCCAATTGTCGAAGTGTTCGCTCAATGGCCTCAAGCGTTGCTTTCCACTCTCTATCGTTCTTTTTGATGGAGTATAATTCGGTGAACAAGGCTCGTTTGATGGCGTAAGGCTGCCCAAACTTTTCGACGAGGACATTTCTTACGATACTGTAATTCTCCGGAGTTATGTCAGCTCTCATCATAATCTCTTCTTTTAAATTCCTTATATGATCCTGTCGTAAAAAACAATACATTTAAATTACATTCAAATTTTAATACTTTTGCCAGATGTCTTATAAGTCATTCACCAAATAATTTCGCATTTGTAACTAATCTATGTCTAGATTATTTAAACCCTAATCTCACACAATAAAAAATCCTTTGTTAGCAATCTTTGTTTCACATCATTTAAATGTTCTCTGCCGGATATCTAGTCAGTTCAGTTCTGTAATGGTTTTTGAATTATATCTTTCGTTACGCGTTGTTATAATGTTGATTTGCCGGTTTAATTATCCAAGTTTGAGGCAAAATAAGCTCACTGCTGTATCATAAATATTCGAGTACCTGACGACAACCTTTCGCGACAGTAGAAGATAAATTCTGAACTATCCATAAATTGCGTCCTCTTCATTAGTTGCAAACACCCCGCAGGAAACTCAATATTTATTGAAGGCTGGCATATCATGCATGCGCTCCTTTGCTTCACACTTAGCAATCTTTTAACTTCATTTATTGAAAAAAAATCCAATCAGCATAAAGGGAAAAGAAAGTTACATCAACAAAACACAAAATAAACACTATCCACTAATAAATATTGAATTAAAATTCCGAACAATTTTCATTAGATTAATTTTACAAAAGTTTTACCTCATGTTTTCTGTTATTCATTAACATTTTGCGATTTAAAATAGCGAACAATTCTCAGATTGAATGATTAACAGAAATGCTTATATACAAAATCCTTTGTTTTTTTAATCACATAACAATAAGTTCGATGGTACAAGAACTATCAAAAATTACCACGATAACTCAGAAACGCGAAACAGCCAATCATGCTTTCTGTGGCTCTTCCTTCTCAATAACATCCTTCTTCATGTGTTTATCAATGTGATCGCGAATCCATTTCCATGCACTAGCTATAATAGATGTATTTAATGATTGGAATAGAAATTTTAATTTGGAAAACGTTATTAAATAAGTAAGAAATGAATAAAATTCTCACCATAACGATGCAGACATTTGAAATGAAGAAAAAATGCAGTACGTTCTTCCGTACTGCCAACATTTGATTCTTTCAGTTGATCATGGATGAAATCAATGATATATGCCAACCAGAGAACGTTTGTCATGGAATGAAACGGTCGCCAAATGTTTCTAAAATTTTGGTATCGAGAAAGCATCTACACATTAAAAAAAAATCCCAATTATCGAACTCATCCAGTTCAAATATCCATGCATTCGTTAAATTTCCATTGCTTTGCTTTTCTAACAGTATAAAATCTAGGACAGACAATGATTCCGTTTTTAATATATCACTCATCTTTTAATCCTAATTTTCTCAATTAATGTATAAAGTGGATGAAACTTATATGGCTTTATTTTTACCGACATTCAAGAATGTAAAGCTACAATAATACTCAAAATTTAATTACTTGCTTATTCTACGCATTGTTTGAAAAGCAATGTGTTCGGAATCACCTTCACCCATAAAAAATTCTTCATTAGATGCCCAATCAAAATATATTGTAGACGTGCCTGAAATGCCTTTGGTAATGGGGAAATTCATGCTTTTAACAACAAAAAAATATCAAATTCTGTTGTAATCAGGGAGGCTTTTTATTGAGGATGAAAAAAGTATACCTTTGGTCATTCTGCAGAAAGAAGAATTTATAATTTTAACTCTAGCACCATGTGCATATATATAGACGTCAGAACCGTCAAACTTGCTTCTAAAATTATGTTGAATTTTAATTTTCCATTTTCAAAATGAAGTTTTAAGAGGACAACAGTGAATGATAACTAGCTGATTAGGTTTGGAAATCAAACCTGATTGTATCAATACAGTCAACACTGGTAATCAAAATATTCTCGCAGTTCAGGTCGCGATGTTCAAATGAAAGCCGAAATTCAGCGACAGCAAGGGCCATGAACAACTGATAAACGATGCTGTACGCTTGAAGAATAGTAGTAATCTACAAAATTAACAAGTATATCCCGAATTTTCGGAACAAGCAATCTTAAAAGGAATAAATATACTATCATGTTGCTTTCATTGTTTTTCCCAATCCAATCTTTTGTTATGTTACCACCAAACAATTACATTGTATATAATAAAATCAAAGTTCAACAATACCTTATATTCTTTCAAGCTAGTTCCACCATTCTCAGCAAAGAGAAGCAGAAAACTTTGGTTGGCAGGAAACAGATTCGGATTTAATTTGTCGGACTTCCCATTTTGCTTGTACTCTCTCCATGCATAGATCATTGACGACGGATAAAGTCCTACAAAGCATGAAAGTGTTTGAAAAAACGTGCTAATCAGCATCTATTTCAGTCTATTAAAATTGAGAAAATGCTTGTAATCCTCGCAAAATGCTTGTTATCCTCCCTATCTTTCACAAAAATTCAATTGTACCGTTCACCTTTCACAACCATCGCTCCTTTCAGTTGGACAAATCCTTCCGTAGAATATCCCTGTTTGACTTGACACAGATCCGCAATTTCTTTTAGAACGATCAATTTTGCAACACCGTCGCGGAATGAGCTTATATAACATCCATTAATCGGTTGGTCATCATCACCAATAGGGATCAACTAAATATAAGAGTTAAGGAAATAAAGCGTTACATTTCACAAATTGTCTTGTCCAAAGCAGTCTATGAAGAAAATTTACCTTCAGAATGACTGTTTCCATTTTATACTCAGCAAGAAAAATCTCGCAATATACTCCTTCTGCAATTTTCTTCGCTTCCGAGACATTGCTGCAGTTACAATTATGATTTTTAACTTCAACAATGGATTCGTGATTTCAAAGATAAATCAAAAGAAATTTCTATTTCTAATTATAACTTATTGCTGGTAAGTAACAGATAGCTTTAAGCCTTAAGAAAACATTAACAATTCAGGATCTTTTCCAACAATTCAATTACCGCAGTGAGCTATCACGGGAAGACGATCCTTGTGTACCTGCATTACTTTTATCATTTAGAAATGGTCAAACTTACAGCACTTTTTTCACCTTTCTCCAACGCATAATTTGCGGCTGACTACAGATGTGAAGAAGTTCTCTGAGATAATTACGTTTTGTTGCATAGTTAGTGGTCCAAGGAAACGATTCTCTCAGATAAAAAGGACGGTTATCCTAAAATAGGAAAAAAAAAGAATAAATTGAATATTAAGTGTTTCTAAAAAAAAATGAATAAAAAATGAACTAAGAATGAAAGAAGAGGAGGAAAAACGCTTCGTACAAATTTGAAATTTGCCTCCTTTTCAATTACATAACTAATGAAAACAGATGTAGAATTTTTCGTTTTTTAATAAAATAACAAAAACATACCTTAGAGTCATCATATGGCATCAAATTACCTAGAAGTCTTCCCTCACTGACACTTTTATGCAATATCGTAAATTGAGAATTAATTAGTTGCAAAAGGAATTTTTCAGAATGTGTAAACGCTAAAATAAAGTGAAGTGAGTTGCAAGTTATTTCTAGGATTTCTAGGATCTTTTTTTTTTCTTTCAACACCTTCAAAATTGTTGAAAGGATGAAAAATGAGAGGGTGTCCGTACTGAAATTATTCATCCTTAGAAACTTTATTTAAATAAGATAAAATACTACTAAATAAATAATGATTTGGGTAAAATTGCCATTAATTCTTTAAAACTACAGTAATAATTTTATTGCTACTACAAATTAATTCAAAAATGAAGCGTAGTTAGTAACCACTGACACTCTATCGGCAAGAAGGGTTCTATTTCTTTATCTTCTTCCAGCTGAAATACGATGATTTAATGTTTCAATGATAAGGCATTTATAGCATGAAAAATCTGCTAATCTAAATTCTGGGATATATTCTGGTAAAAAAAGCATTTTACAGTTTCAATATTTACTTACTGCGTTATTGTTCTTTATAGTGAATGCTTCCTCATTTAGTGCCTAAAGATCTTTCGATTTAGGCATCCTTTTTTATACATCAAAAACTTTTTGGGTTTTATTCAACAGGAAAACTTCCAGTTCACTTTTCAACTTGTCATTTAACAATTCAGCCTTCAAATATTCACAAATTATATTTGAAACAGATTGTCAATCTTTTAGTAATTCAGTTCTCTATCAGCTTTTCAATAATTTCTTTATTTAATTTTTGTTTCCACATTAATTCTCATGCAATTTTTTTTATCCAAATATGACCTTTACTTCAATTTAGTTTTTTTAAGCAAATATAACCTATTAACCTGGCTATTTATCACAGCAACTTATATAATTAATTTGCTACCTCTTCAGCACGAAAGTCTTCCGGTTCATCCGTAAGGATTAGAACACCATTGTATTTAATTGGTTTTTGTACCATTGTTTTCGCTGAAAATGAGACAAAGAAATTGTTAGAACATAATAAGATAAGAAGGCCAGATCTGCAATATCATGAGAGAGATGAGAATTACGAACGTGCTTTTACGTTATATAACCACACAAAACGTTAACGTGGTCGATAAACGTCAATGACGAAAGAAGTTAAAACGAATTTGAAGACCGACTGTTAAATGGATAATATGGAAAGATGAATGAAACAATACCATGACGTAATTTATGCAAATTAGTGGAATTTTTAAGCTGAAAGACGGAGGAAGGGAAAAAAGTGAAAAAGAGAGAAAAATGATAGAGAAAAGACAGAATAAAGAAAATGGTAAGTCCATTTTACGATTATAGATAATATGGAAATTTTTAAAATAGAACTCATCCTACTTCTCAAGCAGTATATTTGATCAGAGAGAGTTTAAAAACACATTTTAATTGTTTGAAATGACTAGGAAGAATAAAGTAAAGCGTAAATAATTCCCCTTAATATCACTCAAGCGTTTCCCTCACTGGATACTTGAAATTTTTTTTAACTTGAAAGTTTTTGATATGTAAAGGAAGCCTAAAGATTTTCACTTAATTCCTAAAGAAAAATCTTTAGGAATTAAATGAGGAAACATTCATTATAGGATGGTAAGATGATAAATAAGCACTTAAGGGAGATGAATGCTAAATTTTAAATATTTATATTTAAGAAACCATAAAGTGGTGAAAATAGGCTTTTTTAAAAAAAAAAATATTATAGTAACAGCAAAATTTTATTATTTATAGCTACAAAGAATTTAGTCTGGCCAGATTATTATTTATTTTATAATGCAAGATAGCTTGATGACTTGAGCAACAATACCATGTAGAAGCGCAAAGTAGTGGTTCTCTTCATTGAACAAAGTTTTTGAGAAAGGATAATTTCAATACAAACATCCATCATTTCCTATTTTTCCTGTAATTTTGAAACAGGTTGAAAAAAAATATCCTGGATTATTCAAGTAGCTTGCAGTTGTACTATACACTTTCTACTTCAAGCTTTTTAACTTTCTGAGATATATCTTTTTTTGTAACTGATTGTCAGCTTATGACGTTTTATGAATGTATTAATGCGGAAAGATTTCCAAATTATTTGATGGCAAATGATAACTCTAAAACATGTTTTCTTTTGTTTAAGCTTTTTGTTTTATTTATTTATTTTATTTTATTTTGCTAATCGAGAAAGAAACAAATTTCGAATTTATATTGTTCCTATCTTTTTTTTTTTTTTGAAAGCACTTAATATTTCATTTATTGCATTTTTTTCTGAAATGCTTTTTATTTTGTACTAGAACGATTCCTTTGGAAGGAAGGATCAATTGGTGGTAAACGAAAAAAAAAAAAAAACAGTTATGAATACCAATTTTCTCCTACATAATTTTTCGATGATTATAATTATCAAAGAGGTTTGCATTTCGGTAAAAGTTAGAAATTCTGTCCTTAAATATCAATATACTTATTTTAGGTCTTTGCTGTATGCATTTTGTATTGTTTCGCTTCTTCAGTTTAATTCATGAAAAATGGTCTCGATTTCCAGACCCATCCAGATATACCAACTATTTTTTTTGGTTAAGTGAATTTTATGTTGGTTTTGAAGCTTTGATTTTATTTGATGTCTTTCATAAACTGAAAAGTGTTCAAAAAACAAAACAAAAAAAAAGGACTACAATAAGCATAGAGTTCAAAATTTCAGCATCATTTGAAGGCGATGGTTGATTTTTCTTTTGCAACTTATTTGCTTACTATTCTATTTGTCATAGGTACCTTAACTGATATCATATGATAAATCATTTTCTTGTAATAAATGATAACCAGCTGTCATGATTATCAACATCAGTCATACAATCAAATTTCCGATAGTTCTGCTTCACTTACTTTATGCATGATTAATGCTGGCGTACTGTAACAAAAATTCTCGATTCATTGTGGACTGCAGTTTTCTGTTTAATATGGAATTAGTGGACCCCTACTACTATATGATCAATACAATGTTTCCGAAGCAAAATACACTTCACTTGTCAAATTTTTTTCGTCAAGAAGTTTCGTCAAACAAATCTTTCCACCCTTTTTCCCCCAGTTCATTTAAGTCCATTTTTCTTAGCAAAAATTTAATTATTTTCATATTTATTTGCAAATTTGAAATTTGAGCATAACATATATATTTTTTGCATTTGAGGACAATAAAGAAAATAAATTAAGAGACATTTTCTGCATTATTTGTAATATCATTCCATTTTTCCAACATTGAGGAAGAATGCAATTACTTTGGCATATGCTAGACTGTTCAAATATCATGATAATGATGATGTAGTTATCAGTTCGTGTTTAGTTTCAGTTAAAATTCTAATGATTTGAACGTGATACTAATCACGGTGATATCACCGGAATCAATAAGCGAAAGAATATAGATGGATATTGGTAATTTTTATTCTTGTAGCGTTCAGGAAACAGTCAGTGCTAATCTCATTTTATGGTAAATCGAATTATATAAGACAAAAACAGGAATGGTCAGATTAGTGATACTTTGGAAGGAATGAAAGCATGCACAAATCGTAAGGACAATAATTTTTATTATTTTCTATTTTTTTTTTCCAACATTACTTAAATGATTTTTTAAGCCGTTAATTTCGATATCTTATATTATTGGAAAATTCAGTAATTGATCATCTTCTTTAAAAACTAGGTACATGCTTCGCAAAATATTTCATTATTTCACTGATACGTTGATATTTTACCTCAACAGTAATCCTTGATGAGACTTCTATTGCTTTCATATCATCAAAAATCTCCTTTTTCTTGCATATATACTTTTAAGCAATCGTACTTACACAATGCAAAAATTTTTTTAAACATTTATTTTAATATTGAGCAGTAACTAATATTAAAGATCTAATAACTTTTCCTAACTATTTTTTCGAAATAACACTATACAGGTGACAATGTACACCATAGTATTATTACATGTTTAGATACCTAGAGGTCTTAATTATTGGGGTGCAGTATCATTATAGTTCATTTCAAGTACTATTCCCTACTGCTATAGATCTAAATTTATGGCAAATTTGATGGATTTACTTCCTAAATCAAATTCAAATGACGAAACACTATTTATTAACTTTTTCGTTTTTTTTTTTTTTTTTTTTTTTGGAATCAGTTGTTTCACCTAATGATTTTAAAAGGCAAATTAACATGCAAAATTTATAGTAAGTTAAGCCAGCTAAAAAACTTGTAAAATTGCATCTTAAAAAAAAATCAAAACAAATTTTTACTATGAAGTGGATAAATTCATTAAATTTTCCATAGTTCTGTTCGATTCAACAAAGGTAATGAATAAAACATTTTTTTTTTCATAGTCGTGTGTATGCAAAGTAAAAAAAAAATGTATAGAAAAAATATACAACAATAACAATAATAATAATATTAGTATAATATAATATACTACCAATATAATAATATAATAGTATTAGTGTAATATAAATATAATAATATAATCTCATTCATATTGTGAGAGGTTACTATGACCAAGCCATCATAACAAACTTAGTAAGACTAATTCTAATAATGAATGACGACACTGATACGGTGATAACGTTAAAAGTAATCATGAAATAATAATCATGTTGTCGATGAACCATGAATGATGTCATACAATCATATTATGACTATTACATATCTCGTTGGTTGTAGTATACGGAACGAGCAACGCTGCTGATAAGCATTATTTATAGTAAATGCTGTTATTACGTCTTATATATATATATAAATTACTGCACCTTAATTACCAAGATATTTTTTTTATAAAATGCATGGTTTGTATCACCAAAAATAGTGGTACTTTTTTATAAAATTTATATTTGAAATTACGAAAACAATCTTTTCATATTTCAACTAATATTTTCTCTCACAAAATTTAAATTTTAAAATCATTTAAAAAAAAAAACTTTAGTTCAGATTTTCCATAAAATTTCAAAACGAAACAGAGCTTATGATTAATATTATTAAAATGTTTTTTATAATATTTGAGTTTAAATTACAAAACTATTTTTTACTAAATTCATACTTTGAATTTCTATAAAATTTAAAAAGAAAAAAGTTTTTTTCTTTTTTTTTAAACAATGTGAAAAAAACCAAAATGATCTTAATTCAAAACTCAAGTCGATTTTAGTTAATGCGCTATAAAATGGAAATTTTTTATTCGAGATTTGTTGTACATTTGATCATTCTTCACTCCCTTTGATTGCAAAAAATGATTTTTACTTCACAATGCATTCATTTATGACTTTTTAATTTCAAATAATTTTAACTGCAAAAATGAATTTCATTTCAGTGCACAATGATTTTCTGTGAAGCAGTACCATGGTCTCAATGGCCACAGTAAGTGGAAGTTGAATGACATTGATTCAGCAAATATTAGTAGCTGTAATACTGTAGATTAATCAATCTTTTCATGAATATTTAAAAATATCCCCCTATTTCTTCCAGTATTGTGGTAATTTTTTAATTCAGTGATTGTAATATCATTATCAGTGATCGTTTCGGCTGACTTCTTGTGCATAAATATAGCTGCAAAAAAAATTTAATTTGCAACATCCGAGATGCCAAAAATTTATGCATAAGTAAGCAAAAAACGAAAACACCTGTTACTTGAAGGTAATGTGATGTGACAAGAAAACACAACTAACCAGGTAAAATAAAAAAGAAAGATTCAAAAATACAAAGAATCATATATATGACTAATTTGAATTGATAGTAAAACTACAGAGATAAACAAGTATAAATTACTGTTTGAGTGAATAAAGCCAAGAAAAAATATGCAATAAGTAAAATTACTAAAAGACATGCATCAAAAAAAAACATACAAATTACTGTTGTTTGAGTAAATGAAGTTAGAAAAATTGAAAATTGTATGCTAATGCATATAAAGTAAAACGAAAAGTTTGGGAAACACAAAAACTGAACATGAGAAATAGTAATCAAAAAAAGAAGAAAAAAACAGAAAATAATTGACACATCACTTTTCACTGAAATTAAGCCCTGTCATTCAAGGATAGGAACGTGAACTGTTATTCATTACATGCTCAATCGGTGTGTTCTGCTCATCAGTTTGCTCATAACACGTCTCTGGAGGAACCGTTCCATCCGGACTTCCAGTAGGATTTCCGACGCCAGATCGATTATAATACTGATCGTATGCTAAAATTGATTGGTTTTCAATAACAAAAAAATCAGTTTGAGGAATTATCATTTGCTTAAACAATAGAGAAGATTGAGGAGGATTAATTCATGAAAACAGGAACGATACATTCGTGAATGAAAATTGGAAGAAGTGAAACTAAGATGCAATCTAGGATGCTAAATCTGATGAAAAAGCGACGGAGCAGTGTGACTTTCTATGATTTAAATTCAACTTTGCAATTGAGCAAATGACAGATTGTCCGCAACCATTTGAACGTTTCGCCATATTTGCGACATCATTTGTGCATTGCTGATTTGATCCATGTCAACTTTTTGATGAATTAGGTGAATCCCGCCGGAAGCCGCACCTAGTGTGTCCTTAATCGCTTGTATATCGTCAGAAATTCCGTTGCACCAACATGCTGAAGGTGGCGGATTATGCACTGGCATATCTGAAAGTTGACAATTTTATGAAATTTATTTTTTCATCAACTCATAGAATAATAGGAAATTCTTTGTACACATAGGACGGTTCACACTGCCGATCACTACTGGATGTGTCATATTCGGACGACAGCTATGAGCCATATACGGTTGTTGCACGTGAGAACGGTTCGGTTGATCGATGACGACATTCGGTGGAGCATCCTCAACGTTGCTAACTAGCGGAGCACCTAAACATTTACCAAAAAATGGCCATCAAGAAATGTGCAAAATTGCTATTCTTATCTATTATTATTATTACCTACACTATTCAATCATTTTCACACTTTGCAATACGGAAATAACCAATTGCTATCTAATCATCACTAACGGTTAGTCTTGTACGTACGCTTTCAACCTAATTCTTTCATTGTTCAATTAAATACACGTTTCCTGCATGTTTCAATTTGTCACACGTAATATTACATGTACATATAAATAATATCTTCAATGTAATAGTAATAAAATTGAAAGTGAAAAGACAAACCAGTATTATTTGAGCTATTGCTGTGGATTCGGTTCTTTTTCGTTGCGTTAGAAGCACGTGGCTTGGAACGTACTATACGTGCATCATCTATAAAGAAGATATATGACATTTTAAAATTTCAGATGAAAGAAGGTTTGGGATCATCTCCATTTCTTGCTTTTTTATGTGTACCATAGCTTATTTCAGTTAACAATATATAATAGATAAATGCTATATTTTTGTTAAAATATCAAAAACTATTCTTAAAATAGTTAAAGCATTTATTTCATTTTCATTTGACATGAAAAGAAGTTAAATTAAATAATTTTTACCGTCCATAATACGCACTACTTCACCATTGTCCACAGGAGCTGCGACATTTCCAGTTTGTTGTTTAGCTGACATTCCTAAAAATACATTCGAATCATTTTCAAGTGATACAAAATACGGTAAATAATAAATCCTTTTCTTTTCAAGCTAATAACTTCCTCCCATTTCTGTATAACTGTAAAACAATCCGTAAGCATATATGAACAAAAATATAGGACCACCTATCCAATTTTCACTATTACCAAATAATAATACTTTCATCCCAGTTATAAAGTATAAATGTGAGTCGAAAAATTTGCATAAAAAAATTTGCATATTATAACGTCTTCCTTACTGTCTTCTAATATCATTTTAAGGTGGCAAGTGTAAAATGTTCTGAATTTGCTTCCTGGTTGGTTGCACAGTTAATGATTTAGAATTAATTTGCCAATAACTGAAGAATATCACAGGGATGAAGAATATTGGTCGTTCAAAATCACGCATATTTGCTGGAGGAAGACAAGCTGACCTGCAACACTTCCTGAAAGTATCATCCTGAGGTGGCAAGTCTAAATTTTTGATTAATATATTTAATACATTTTCAGGTTGAACTTGGCAATGACAATATAATTATCAGTTTAAAAGAGAGAAATAGTGTGTAATCCATAAACTTGTTAAACGATATTTAATTTTAGACTCAAAACGAACAGATATAAAACGGATCTGTCATATATATATATATATATATATATATATATATATATATATATATATATATATATATATATATATATATATATATATATATATATATATATATATATATATCCAAAAAGTAGTATTTGACTTACCTGTCTGTATGATTGTGCTATTGCTATCAAATAATATTTGCAGATTTCAAATTTCTTTCTATATTGAACATTTTTACAAAATTGCAGAATAATTTTAACCAAATCATATATTACAGTTCCTGAAATATTTTTTCTTTTCTTATTCCTCAGTAAAACAGTTGGCAATAAAAATGCTACGCTAATTTTCAAATCATTTCATTGATTTTTTTACTCCCAGTTTACATTAGTAAAAATTATCACTGACCCACCTTAAGTGACCGATAGTTTCTATGTAATAATAAGTAGCAATGAATCATCACAAGAACAAAAAAGAAAAAAAAACATGAAATTTTACAACGTGCGTATTAATGATGAAAGCAATGATTTTATAAGTTGCAATAAAATTGATCCAATTGTAAGAATATGCTTGTGATGTAAAACTATTACTAAAAAATAAAGATTAAAAAATAAAACAAGCATTTAAATTTACTTTTATAAATCTTTATAACTAAAAACTGCTATGAATTCCAAATTACAAAGTGATTCAAGTATCGTAATTCTGTTACGGCTTCTTTTTTCAACGGCCCTGCGTAAAATCTTTTATTCGATTATTTTGAATTGTTTTAGGCTTGTTGTTGTTTTGAGGAAGTGAACAGCTACATTGTTCGTTTTCGGAGCGATGAGAAGTATTGAAGTTGTAATTAATTAATTCTCTTATTTTTAGATGATTGTATGACGTAATTCTACAATCAGAGATTATATGTGTGTACATGGATGTTTCTGATTAAATATACTGCTTGAAAAGTAAAACAAAATGAAGGTGTAAGTATGGAAGAATGAGAGAAAAAATTTCTTGATGATTTCCTATTTTTTTGACTGATTTTCTGGATGAGTTCTTTTTTATAATTTGCCATATTTTCTATAATTGTAAAATGTACGTTTTATTTTTCATTTCTGTCTTTTTTCTTTTTCTCTTTTTCGCTTCTTCCATCTTTTAGGTTAAAGTGTTCACTAATTTCCACGAGTTTACCTTATCATATTGCTTCATTCATCTTTCCATAACAGTTAATGTTGACATTCTCTTTAACGTCCTCTCTCATCATTTTGACGTTTATCGATTACGTTAACGCTTGTGTGGTTACACAACGTAAAAACATATCTGTTGCTCGCGTTTCCCATTTCCTTTTTGGTATTGCAGATTGGTCTTTTTGTCTTACTATATTCTAACAATTTCTTTGTCTCATTTCCAGCAAAAAACAATGGCACAAAAACCAATTAAATACAATGAACCGGAAGAATTTCCTGCTAATAAGGTAAGAAATTGTTGTGTTACAGATAGCTGATTCATGAAACAGAAATGAACCGATCCATCCATCTATCTGAGTGAATCGTCCCCTTTTCGATGGCTAACAACTAACAAAATTTTATGATAATTATGTCAAAGAGCTTCTTCACATCTGTAATCAGTCGCGTTGGAGAAAAGTGAAGGAAGTGCTGTAAGTTGGAGCAGTTTCTAAATGATAAAAGTAATGCAGGTATACAGGGTGGCGCAAGGATTGCCTTCCTGTGGTAGCTTCACTGCTGATATATAAAGCTTTTTCTTCTGTGACGGTAATTGAGCTGTTGAAAAGCTTAAAGCTAGCTATCTGTTGCTTACCAGTAAGTGACAATAGGATAAGTAGAAATACAGATTTCTTTCGTGAAAAATTGTAATTGTAACTGCAGTGATATAGAGAAGTTTTTGTTGTAGAGTATAAAATGGAAGCGGTCATTCTGAGGGTTCTGAAAGACGTTACAGATCTATGTCAAGTAGTGATATTCTACCGGAGATCTATTCAACTGAAAGGATTGATTATTGTAAAGGATGAAATTGAATTTTTCGGGAAGGACTGGTGATTAGCGAGAACAACAAGCACTTTGCGAAGATTATTCAATTTTAATAGACTGAAATAGATGCTGATTAGCACGTTTTTTCAAACACTTTCATGCTTTGTAGGACTTTATCCGTCGTCAATGATCTATGCATGGAGAGAGTACAAGCAAAATGGGAAGTCCGACAAATTAAATCCGAATCTGTTTCCTGCCAACCAAAGTTTTCTGCTTCTCTTTGCTGAGAATGGTGGAACTAGCTTGAAAGAATATAAGGTATTGTTGAACTTTGATTTTATTATATACGATGTAATTGTTTGGTGGTAACATAACAAAAGATTGGATTGGGAAAAATGAGAAAAAAAAAACACTGAAAGCGATATAATAGTGTACTTGTTCCTATTTAAGATTATATGTTCCAAAAATTCCGAGATATATTTGTTAATTTTGTTGACCGTTACTATGCTTCAAGCGTATAGCATCGTTTATCAGTTGTTCATGGCCCTTGCTGTCGCTGAATTTCGACTTTCATTTGGACATTAGCTTGAACTACGAGAATATTTTGCTGTATTAGACTACAAATTATAGTTTATTTTAGATATCAGAAAAGGAGACTACGCTTTATACTGTCAGAAAATACTAGAAATAGAAATTTGAGGTATTCATAAATATTTGAACTGGGTGAGTTCAACAACTGTCGATTATTTCTTAAATGTGTTGGTGCTTTTTCGGCACCAAAGTTTTAGAAACATTTGACGACTGTTTCGCCTTTCCGTTCTCTGGCTGACATATATCATTGATTTCATCCATGTTCAAATAAAGATAAAACGTAGAATTACATTTCAAATTTGAATGCAGTATGCATTACGCTTATGCACAAAAAGAAACTGCACTTTCGGTGTGCGAATTTCAATTCTTATGAATAAGCTTAAGCACATCTTTTTCATCAAAGTAGTAACCATGACAATGAATAGATTACGAGAAATAAATTTGTTTATTTCCGTAGCATAGAAATCACTGCTTTGAAATTCGGTGAACTCATTGAAAGTATTTTCTTCCGATAATTACTCAAGCACATTACCTGGAAAATATTGCAAAGCTGAATAGTTATGTGATGAAAAGTGTAATAAATGTGAAGGATAAAGCATAATTTTATGATCTAAATGCATTTCAATTTCGAAACATCAATTATCTGATAAATATCAACAAGCGTTACCTCGAAGAATTTGATTTTGACCCATACTTTAGCTAGCTTAAGTAAGGTATTGTAGTTTTCAATCGTCAAAATTCAAAGTGCTACCGTAAAAACGGATTATCAATTAGTGGTAATGATCTCTCTTGATATGAATTAGAATTTGGTGATTGAAGTTTCTTTTTCCTTCATTCAATAAGTTGATTATTATCTGTTTATCATGCGTAAATGTCCAATCTAAAAATTTTTTGTTACAAGATAACTTTTTTTAAATTGTCACCAGCCCATGGGAAAATCATTCATTAAATTTTTCAATTTACGATGATAAATAATTATAATTTGGTGAACAATGAATTCAACAACTATTTCTTGTGTAGCCCATAGCCAGCTCAAAGCTGAGCTTCAGTAATAATTTCTTCAAGTTAGCCAAGTATGTCCGTTATGAATTTTCACTCCCCAAAATTTTTTAACAACTCTTGGACCAAATATCTTTATAATTGAGTCTAGAAGTTGTCCTTTTCTTAGGATGGTCCCCTAAGGCTAATGAACCCATCCTATCCATTGACACACTTCCTCTTATCTTTTAGTTGAGATCTGTTTTGTTTAGAAAGGCTTATCGGATGGGATGTATGGCCATATCCAGATAGGATAATTCACAACTTGATTGGGACATTCAAGTTCCTTTCCCATGAAAAGCGGCTGTCCACAGAGGAGTATTTTTAATATTAGAAGTTGCATCTATTTTTTTATGACCTATTTTAAGTTAAAAAAACAAACACAAAATTACTTCAATTTGCTTTTTTGTTTAATAGCATATTTTTAATTTTAAATAAATAAATATGAAAGAAATAACAGTAATAAATTATCATTAAAAAAAAGTATGAAGGAAGGAATGCTCATTAAAATGATATATAATATAGCCAGCTTATTTAAGAATAATATCTCAATATAACGCAGTAAGCTTCAACAACTTTTTTACTAAGCGATGTTTTATGTGAATCATTTTAATACCTTCTGTTAAGCAATTTTTTATTTAAAAAAAAAAATCAATTCAATGCATTATTCGATTTTTGTTTAAAAGATTTTTGTGAGATCCTTGAAATATTGGAAAAAATGACCTTTGAGAATTGAAAAAAAAAACAGAAAACAAATTTCCTTCCATCACTCACACCGTTGTATAAAGTTCTGAGAATATGTGAAAATGTTATTCTCTGGTTAAACTGTTTTTTTGGCATTAACTTTAATTTATAAATAATTTCCAAAAAAGGGAAAATAAATTTTTGCACGATTTTGATTCTTTTTGTTTACATTTTTTGTTTTATTTTAAATAATGAAATATTTCTACTGTTTTTAGTAAACAAAGTTGTCTGAAACTAGAGAGATTCTTTATCAGATTAATATAAAGCGGAGAGAGAGAGAGAGAGATGTGAGATTGATAATATGTGATTAGTTTCTATTGAAATTTCAAAATAAGCTTTCCTCATTTTTCAAAGAAAAATTCAGTCAAATTTGAAAAGAAGAGAATAATGTTGCTGAATTTTTAATAATGCATATTTCCATTTTGGGATAATTTCAGTTAAATTGAGTAAACATTTAGATATCAGCTGGCATACCGTACACGTTATCATGAACAAAATTTGAATCCAAAATGGAAACCCTTCGAAATACATATTGATCAACTTTGTTACGGTGATAAAGATCGGTAAATATTTCAAATTTCTAACTATGCAATTTTTTCCTGTAATCATTTATACAACGAATTTAGAGAAAAGAAGAGAAAAAGGACAGAAGATTTGCATTTTTTAATTTTAGGGAATTTCTTGTCGAATGCTTTGACTGGGACAAAGATGGGAAGTAAGTTTCGTCGTTGCTAATGTTATTGATTATTTCGCTTTTAAATAGCTTTTAATAAAATTTCAATTTCAAAAATTTCAAATCAACTTTCAACAATTTTAGCCATGATTTGGTTGGTAATTGTCATACTACAGTTAACAGGTTACTTAACAAAGAAGATGTCACTTTACCGGTTAGTTTGAAATATATTGTTACTCTATTGTATTCTCATTTTATTTGCTCTTCTTCATCCATCTAAATCATGACAAAGTTATTTACATTACTTGCATGATCATTTGAAATATTTTGATGAGACTTTCAAATACTGGTTTAGTCTCCAGTTTTTAATCAAATTTAGAAAGATGCAAATTTAGCGACTGCTAACTGGTATTTTTTATAACTTGTTATTATACTCTGTTGTTGCTGTTGTTGTTGTTAAGCGATAACTGTAGTGAGAATTAACTGATATGTGTTGAAGCACTTAACTTCGAAAATATTCTCAAACAGTTTCCGTGCTTAAATAAGCCTTTTGACGTAGAATTTGATGTGGTAAGAGAAATTTTATGTTTAAATGATTAATCAACCTACGAGTTGTCTGGGAACTAGATGATTTGGTTGGAAAAAATGTGAGATGATACTCGAAAATTGTTGCTTATTCTGTAATTGATTTTTAGCTAATCAATCAGAAAAAGATGAAGAAAAACAAAAAATATGTTGATTCTGGACAACTTCACTTTCATAGGGTGTATTGTTGGATGGATTACACCTTTCTTGACTTCATAACTGGCGGGTAATGAAATTGTAAATCTTTTGAAAACTAATTTTATCTGGTTTTTTGTACTTTAAGTGTAAATATCGGACAGAAAGTGTTCAAATCTTAGCTGTGATGGTTGAAATAATATAGTTTAAAACTGATAAAACAGAAGAAGCCCTTCAAATTAAAAAGAAAAAGACTTCAAATTAGACATTTAACTTTCAGAACTGAGCTCGAATTTACAGTGGCAATTGATTTTACAAAGTCAAATTTACCTTCCGGTAATATGGCATCACTACACCATGTTGATGATGAAAGTGCCAGTCAGTACGAAATTGCTATTCAAGCGATTGCCGAAATTTGCCAGTACTACAATAACAGTCAATTGTTTTATGCTTACGGTTTTGGTGCCCGATTACCCGGCGATAATCGCGTCAATTTTCATTTTCCCTTGGTACTTTTTTTTTTTTATGTATATAATTATATATTGTGTTTCATCATCTATAAAAGTTTGTTAAATCTTTGAATTATTTTCTAACTAAATCAAAATTTAAGGTTTTTTTCTTCTTAACAAAAAGCATAAGCAGTATTTGTGTGTTAGATAGCAAAAGTTGCCTTGGTATTATAAAATTTTGAGAAAATTGAACTTCACGAAATGCTTTTATTATCAGTGAAAATTGCGTTTACTTCGTGCTTTCTTCTTAAAACATAAAAATGAAAAGGAAAAACTTAAAGAAATATGATTTTTTGATTATCACTTATTTGTCTCCATTTGAATTAGGCATTTTTATTTTCAGCTTGAATTTCATTCATTTTGAATAAAGGATAATCTATGAATTTTCCTAGCAATAATGTTCTTATTGAGAAAATTTTTCTGTTTTTGATTTAGTCAAAAGAAATTTGAACAAATATTAAAAATAATAGGTTAAATTAAGGTTGAATTTCAGTCTAAGAAATTTAATTATATGAAAATATTTTGTTAGAGTAATCATCAAATTGGTAACGACAATAGGATATGATGAATATAGGATATATGAATATATATGTAGATTTTTAGAAAATAATAAAATGAAAGAAATGGATTCATGATGAGAACATATAAATAAATATCAAGTTTAGAATCTGACAACAAATAGTCCAGAATGCATTGGAATGGATGGTCTATTAAATGCCTATCGTGATGCGTTAAATAGAATAGAATTGGCAGGGCCAACAGAATTTGGGCCAACATTACGGCATGCAGCACGACATGCAGCTTCGTTACCTCCGGATGGTAGTAGATATTCCGTTCTTTTAATAATCACTGACGGTGTTATCAACGATATGAATAGAGCAAAGGAAGAAATTGTAAAGGTATCACTTAATTTTTTTTTTTTTACTGTAAGCATCAAAAAATGATTGTGATTAATTTATTTGCAATGATTACTTCTTCTTCTGGTCACAAAATTCCTGAGACAAGCAATGGTAAATGAATTAGTGAAATTGCCTTCATTTTTTGTTTTGATAATTTAAGCACTCATTTAAGGCGTCATCACTGCCATTATCTATAATAATTGTTGGTGTTGGTTATGACAGTTTTGGTGAAATGAAGGTTCTAGACTCTGATCGACAAATGTTACAAGTGAATGGCAAATATGCAAAGCGTGACATTGTTCAGGTAATTTGCAGATTCTTCCTTCTCTTTCATTTGTTATATTTCGACTTCGGCTGTAATAGACACAAGTTTGAATTTACTTTCCTTTTCAGTTTGTGCAGCTTCGGGAATTTTTACCACCTCATCGTATCTTAACGGATGATAATTTGATTAGCTAAAGAAGTTTTACAAGAAGTAAGATGATTCAAAACATGATCAAAACATAACTTTTGCGTTTATTTACTTTCGGAAATTATCAATACTATGGTCCAAATTTTATGCATCCAGTAAAATTTTCATGAAGAAATAAATTACTGAAACAATAAGGAAACTGTACCATCAACACTGATTTTTCTTTACTAAATGTAGTTTTGAACGAAAATTAACATTTAATTAGGTATTAATTTTTCTTACTTTGTTAACCATGAAGTTTATGCATTTTCTAAAAAAAAATAATGCAACTCACTGTTTCTATGCTTAAATGTCCATTTTTTCAGGTACCTGCACAATTAACAAGTTATATGAAATCAAAAGGAATATTCCCGAAACAGATTTGTCCCATTTCATGTGATGATGATCGAAAATTGTCTGTAGTAGAACGAGGATATCCAAGTATGGCATTTTTCTTTTGAAATTAAGCTTGAATTTTTAATTAACTAACGCATTATTTTTTTCGAAAAATTGACATATTATACCACTAATCAAGAAATGCTAAAAAAAGGAATTGGAGGAAAAAAGAAAGAAACGAAGAGCTATAAGAATAATAAAATTTATAGAAAAGAGTACGAAAGTTGAAAATGATAAAATCTACTGAGATAATGTGTAAAAGAGTGAAATACCTGAATGAAGGTTTTGATTAGAAATTTAAATCAAACTATTTGCAATTGCTAATGGTTGGTCGGTCACCTCTTTTAAGATAATCCTATGCTATTCAAGGAAGAAATTCCAAAGATTAGATTAACATTTTCTCTCAATGCTAACTGATCCGTTTTTTTTTTCTTCACGTGCGCTATTTGTTTACGTGCAAACTTATCAGTCATGATTGGAATGAACAAAAATTGAAACGAGTGAACATATTTTAGATATTCAAACAACATCACGAACAAGAAGGCGTATGTTACCTGCAGTGCCATGTGAGGAAGTACAAAATATGCATATTAATCCAACTAGGTCTGCCTAAACAAATTTTAGCTCATTATTCATCTAGCAGTTAGTCTTCCTGTGATCACTTTTTAGGACCAATGCTTGTTGTACTCTATCCAACTTTACAGTCGTCTATGATTACTTCAATTATGCTAAGTTTCATTTGATTTTATGCAGTAAACAATCAAAAGCAAATTGACAACTGACTTTTTCTCTCTTTAGGATTAGAATTCTAATGAAATCTCGCAATTTTGATCAGGAAATTCATAATTGCACCAATGACTGAATGCCTGAATAGTTGGATTATTGATTAGTTGTGTACATAATTGGTTATGAAAATATTGTATAGAGTACATTTGGGATATTAAATGAATATATTCACAGTGTTTTTTTTTTCCTTTTTTTTTTGTTGACAATGTTCATTTATCAAATCAAATCCAGTGTGCCACAAAACTTCATATTTGCTTTGGGATGGAGAAATTTTTGCACATTTGGTGCATTTCATCTCGAATTTTTTTCTTCTACATTTCATAAATGATACTTTCTTTTAAAGCACTTGTTTCATTGCATAAAAAATAGTGAGCTTACAAATTTAATCTATAAATGATTTATCTTTATAAATTTTCTTTTCTGTTATTTTAATGTTTTGTCCAATCTAAATTATTAATAAGAACTATTTAAATTTCTAATCGATATGACTTTCTGTTCCCATCACTTTCGCTGAAAATTACCTTTCTTTTGAAGTAAAACATGTTGTGTCACTTCTAAGAAATAAAGCACTTCGATTTTCTCTCATTACTTTTTTTATCAAATTGACTCTACATTTATCAAATTTAAAAATAAAAATCAAACACAAACTCAAATCGGTTTGTCACACCATCAGAATCTGCCAGATTTCAATTTTTGAATAAACATTCACAGATTTTATGCGTGCTCCTGAGAAAACAAGTCGACTTTGTAATTTGGAATTCATAACAGCTTTCAGGTGGATGAAACCAGTATGCTTAAAAATATAACTTAATATATTTTTTTATTCAGCTATGCTATTTCCTGGCATATGTGTAATAGCAAAGAATTATATTACTCTCTTTTGATATATTAAATTTGAAATTTGACACACTTTAATTTAAGAACATTTTAATTTAAGTAAAAGATAAAGAATATCATATCAATGCCAGAAGAAATGAAATGCGCCAAAATTTCTGATTAATGTATTTAGCACATTTCTAGGTGAACTTTGATTTTGAACATAACGATGATTTCCTATCTTCAGAGCATATTACTTGTATTGTTGTAAATATCGACGATTACTTCACTTACTCTTAGCTTCCTTTGACTTTATTAGATAAGCAGTCAAAAGCAAACTAACAACTGATTTTTTCTTTCTTTAGAATTTAGAATTCTAACGAAATCTCGCCATTTTCATCACTAGATCCATAATTGCACCAATGATTGAATGAATGCTTGAATAGTTGGATTATTGATTAATTGTATACATAATTTGTTATGATAATATATTTGTATTGAGTATATTCACAGTGAATATAGTGACAAACAAATGTTCGGGAAAGGAGTGCATGGATGCTATACCAGCCTTCAACGGATGTTCAATTTCATACGAAGTACTTGCAACTAATGGAAAATGCACAATTTATCGATAGTTCAGAATTTATTCTTCTTACAAAACAAAAGTAAGAAAAATGACGATATTTAGGCCATTTTGTCTAAGCTACTTATTTCGTCTATTACTTTTGACGATTGTTTCTTGAGTGCATCGTATTTATTCTACGCTTGATGTCACTAAACTATTAGGATGTAAGAAAATTCGTCCATTGCTTATATGAAGTAATCTTAATGCCAGAACGATGATATCGTCTAGATTTTATATGTATTATAAAGAATTTTTTAATTCTCATTAATATATTTATGCTAATGTTTGCAGTATTGTACAAAGTTTCATACAATGCATCATACAAAGCAACTCGACTTGTAAAAACCAAACAAATTAACATCTGGATATCTCTTATGAATACTAAACATCATCTCTGACTGAGTGCGGTAATTTAAGTCATGTAAGGAACAAGAATGTTACCGCACATTCTTGTTCCTTACATGACTTAACATTTAATGCAGGTTTTCTTTTCAGCGGAAAAACACAGAGATTGTCGCGGATTTTAATATCGCGATCTAAAAATATGAGTTGCAAATTGTAGTAAAGATATCTACGTAATTTCCGCAAATAATGCTTATACTTCGGACTCTTTGTTTCCAAATTTATGCTTCTACATATTGAAACAATTTACATCGTTCTTTGTTAGCAATCCTTACAATCATGAGGATATCTACATTGTTCTTTGTTAGCTATCATAATCATGCGGTTATCTAATAAGCTCTTTATTAGCAACTGGTGCCCATGCAAGCACCTCCTCTCCTTTGTTTGGATCATTGTCTAACATCAATGTAGATTATAACCATACTATTGTCAATTAAATCAGTTTATTCAATTGTTGCCCAAATATTGAGCTGGCATCCAACACATCTCCCTGACATCAAACTTCTCCCCCGAATAACAATTTAACCAAATCATAAAGGTTTGTTTCCAAAAACATTTTTTTGCTTCCACTACAATTTTGGTGCCACGAGCCGGGACATGTCCGACAGTATAAGAAAAGGAAGCGAATTATCGAAGTCGAGAACTCTAGAACTTCTTAAAGAAGCAAGTGAACTCGATCTGACCTCCCCGTCTCAAACACTATCACGAGGGGAACTTCAGCATCAATACGAAATTAAATTGCGAATCGTCAAGGAGAAGATCGCACATCTCGAATATTATGCTGGGTTACTCGAAACAGCTAATCAAAATTGGCTGGATAATATTCAGAGCTTGACAATAGCAACGAGGAGAAAGGAAGAGGAGACGAAATACGCCAATATGGTTGACGATCCACAAGGTATTTTAAGTTTAATCACTAGAACAAGAGAAACTATTATTACCCTTAAAATACATACTGATGAATATTGCTCGGTACTACAACATTTAAAACAAGAAGAGGTCAAAGAATCATTTCCAAAGAATAGTATGATTCACACAAATCAAGCAGAAATAAAACTTCCTCAATTACCACTAATAACGTTTAGTGGGGATCCAAAATTGTGGAGGCAATTTTGGTGTAGTTTCAAGGCAGCAGTCCATGAGCAAAGCATCCCAGATATTCAAAAGTTAAACTATCTGATATCATGTCTTAAAGGAGATGCTTTGTTATCTGTAAGAGGTTATGATATAGCGCCAGAAAACTACGATGTTATAATAGGTTTACTAAAAGAGAAATATGGTAAACCTTTCCTTATAAAGAAATCACTCTACAACGAGTTGAATACCATCAAAAAAATGACCGAGAGTGGAAAGCAACCATAGAAGCCATGGAGAGAACATTTCGACAACTGGAAGCTATAGGTGAAAATTTAGAGCATTCAAGCATCGAAATTACAATTGAAAATAAACTACCAGCGTGGATAATTGATAAATTATACCAATTGAAAGAGGATTCGACGAGTTGGTCAGTTAAGGATATCCGGCAGTACCTGACAAAACTAGTTCTAAGAAATGAAGAAGTTGCTAGAAGTCAAGCAGACACAAGGGAGAAGAAAACAAACAAAAATAATGTTAGAGGCGAAACGTCAGCTTTCGCCACAATCAACCAAACAAAGGGAGATAATACAATCAAATCAAAAAAGGTTCCAGGAAAAATTTCTATAAATGGGAAAAGGAAACCATGCGTATTTTGCAATAAGGACCACTGGAACAATGAATGTAACATCTATCCCACTCTCAAACTCCGGATGGAACGTTTGAGAGAAATCACTGCATGTTTCAAATGTTTACGAAAAGGACATGCAACAAGTGATTGTAAAAAGGGAAACCTTTGTGTTTCCATTGTAAAAGTCCACACAATACAGCACTGTGTCCCAACAACTACAAGGAACTCACGCAAGCAGTGGATTCCAACAAAGAAAGGTTGGGTTCAGTCACAATCGCTAACTCCATTACCGAAAAAGGAAATCAATGGAAAAAGCGAACCTTACTGTTATGTAAGGAAATAAATGTAACCAATCCAAATCGCCCAAAAATCCAACAAAAGGCTTTAATTCTATTCGATATTGGTTCTCAATTATCGTTCATATCAAAGGATTTGGCTTATCGATTGAATCTACAAGAAACTAACGAGATGGAAATAAAAATTGCTTCATTTGGTGATAAGACGCCAAAAACGTGTATCACTACTAAAACTGAAATCGGAGTAAAAATTGGAAATAAAGAAATAATCCGATTAGATGTAATAACAGTTAACCACTTGACGAATGAATTGCAAGTAGTTAATCTAAACAAAAAGGAATTGTTGATGATAGACAAACGAAATCAGTTTAGTAATTTCAAAAACAAATGGAAACAACCGGACATACTCATAGGTGCGGATCACTTCTTCAAGTTTATCCAGTTTGACCAAGCAGAGAACTTAAAATCAGGATTTTCATTGATCCATACAAAGGTTGGACCTATAATAGCTGGAAGTGGGTATATAAATGAAATACACGACAGTATTTCAGAAACCACATCAGTAAGTCCGATTTCTCAAGTCAATGCCGTCAATATTCCAGACTTAGATCACCTTTGGAAACTGGAATTAATGGGTATACAAGACAAAATAAACTCTGACAATGATGAAAAAGCATTGCAGCAATTTAAACAAACTATCACTAGGGACAAGGGAAGATATCAAGTTTGTTGGCCTTGGAAAGATTCAAAGAACAAACTAAGCGATAATTTCGGACTTTGCCTTGGAAGATTAAAGTCGTTAATTAGGAGGCTTCAAATGAAACCTCAATTACTAAGTCGATACAATCAAACTATTGAAGAACAACTCAATTCCAATATAATTGAGAAAGTGTCATCGGAAATGAATGAAGTTGGTATTATTCATTATCTGCCTCATCACGAAGTAATAACACCAAATAAAACCACGACAAATCTGAGGATAGTTTATGATGCATCAGCTCATTGTAAAGGAATGAAAAGTTTAAATGATGTTTTATATCGGGGACCAATAACACTCCCTGATTTGGTTGGAGTTTTGCTACGTTTCCGTACAATGAAAAATGTAATAATAGCAGACGTAGAAAAGGCGTTCTTGCAAATAGAATTGCATCCAACAGATAGAAACTGCACTCGATTTCTTTGGTTGAAAGACATTCGAAGTCCAGTTAACGAAGAAAACGTAAGTTGTTACC